CAAGGTAACAGTCCACCTGCAGCTGCAGGTGACTCAGAGCAAGGCTAAGGGTATGCCACAATCTTTTAATTCTTTTTGAGAATTTTTTAATTCTTTTTGAGAATTAAAAAAAAATAAAGTTCAATATAGATTTAAAATCCCATAGGCCAGGAGAGGAATGATTGAAGGGAAAGCAAAGAGGCCTTTGATCCTAGTGGATCACAAAGTTCTGTGTGCCCCCCAAGGCAGGGGCATGTCACAGAAACCCTGTGAGCTGAGAAGACCTTGTGTTTGAGGAGCAGGTCGATGTTACAGGACCTCTGCAGAGAAGTGTCTGGAGGCCAAACACGAGCAGGACCCTTCCAGGGGATTTTGACATATATAGATGACAATGGTGAGGACATCCTGGAGCTGTGTCCCAGGGCCTGAGCCCCGTGTGACCCTGCCCTGGGAGAAGAAGTGAATAGAGAAACTCTGAACCTCCTGAGGTTGGTCCCACCACTGAGGAAAAGATGGTTCACAAGTTCACTGATAGAAAAAAAAAAAAAATATATATATATATATATATATATATATATATATTTATCTGGTCTTGACCATATAAGTTTGTGGCCTGAAGTTTATATACACAAAACACTAAGCTCCCTTTCCTCCCCCTCACACCCAAGCAGAACATGTCCTGAGGACTCGAGAAAAGAACTTGAGCTTGGATCCCTTCCTTGTCTTCTGTAAGGATCCATTTCCTGTGAAGATCTTAATCACAGGTCCAGGGTGGTAGGATATTGACATCTTTTTTAGAGGACACAACTGATCTCTTAATAGGAACAAAGTTGAGGCAGGGAGTAGGAGAGGGCAGGCTCTAAGCCTCACACTCAGGTGATGGAGGAAAGGGGTATAGCCCTTTCCCAGGACTGCATCCTAGATCCTGCTGTCCCACAGAGCCCAGGCAGCACAGTCCCTGAAGGAAGATAACAGCGGGAATTCTCTCAAGGTTGTCCCATTTCTGAGGCCAGGAGGAATACGATGAAGATGAAAATGACTTTTGTGCTGTTTTGGGGATCCGTGCTTTGCTTGATATTGTTTCTGGGAGGACAAAGGGAGGAGAATTCCAGCTAGAAGAGGAGAGAAGCTAAGTGACAGGGTTGCAGACTGAGGATGCTTTGCCAACATCCTGGTGATACAGGGAGGATGGGGCCAGGAGGAGATGTATAGGCAGCAACGTAACAACCCAGAGAGCCAGGAGTTTGGAGGGGGCAGAGCGTATGTGATGGGGGATGCCCTGGAGCTTGCAATTAGGAAAGTCACCTGCCTTCTCTAATCCAAGGTGACTCTGAGAAGCTTGGGGGGACTTGGAGGAGTCGGGTCCTATGCTAGGGGACTTCTTTCTTTAGCATTGTATAATGAAGCTTTGATGGGTCCCTCAAGGGGCCCCTTTGAGTGAACCTCTCCAGGAGCCTGCTGGGGCTCCAGTCCAGGGCAGCATGGTGGGCCTTCTGGCATTCTTGCCAAGACAGCCTGTTTCAACCCTGAGCCACCCAGCAGGCATGAAGCAGTTCAAGATTTTGTTTTTTTTAAGAGAGAGAGAGAGAGAGAGAGAGAGAGAGAGAGAGAGAGAGAGAATCTTTTTTTTTCTAGATGGACACAACACAATGCCTTTATTTTTTTTTTTTTAATGTGGTGCTGAGAATTGAACCCGGGTCCCACCTGTCCTAGGTGAGCGCTCTACCGTTGAGCCACAATTCCAGCCCAGTTCAAGCATTTTTTTAGGTGACTGTCCATTTAGGAGCAAGTGGGCATTTTATTTGCTTCAGCGTATCCTTAAAATACTGTGGCCCACGATTATGGGCTATATGGAATCTTTGTAGAGTTGGTCTAAATTACAGAGTCTTGGAAAACACCCAGACTTCCTTTGACTCAACAGCATACAGTTGTCTTTATATTCATTCAACAAATGAATATACTTATTGAGTGGTTATGCCAGAAACAGGTTCAGATTCTGGGGCAACAGCCATGGACAAACAAAATCCCTGCCCCTGTGGAGCTTACATATTATGCTGGTAGAATGAAAAAAAACTGATTGAGACTTGAGTGTTTTAACTTGTCGAATGCTAAGAAGAGCCACAGATTCTCCCCCCAAACAGGGAACAAGTATAGAGAATGCTACATGTAGATGGAGGGGTTTTCAATATAGAAAGGGAGGGGGGGGGGTCCTTGGAGGCCTCGCTGATCAGAGGACATTGTTGTAAACATAAGAGGGAAGAAATGAGCCAAGTAGGTGGATTTCTGGGGTAAGAGAGACCAAGCTGCAATATGGCCAGGGTGAAGGCCCTGGACTGGGATGTTCTGATGAGTTTGAAGTTAGTACCACTAGAGAAGAGTGGATGAAAGCTATGTGCCTCAGGATGGTGACAATGAACACTGAGTTTTCTGAAAACTCCTCGTGTGTCATTTCTAAAATGTGGGGTAACAGTAGAATACCATGTTCCTCCAAACCTAGCCAAATTAAAGGAAGCATGAGAGCAAACCTGGGCTAGAAATCCAGATACTTATCTTGAAGGACACTGGCTTCCTCTTATGAATACTGAGAAATAGGGCAAGTTAGCATTATCTGTAGAAAGCTACTTTCTTGCATGCATGCCAGGATGGTTGCTCCTTGGTGTGCTGGTCACGTAAGCAAATTGAGCAAGTTAATGCTGATGTCTCTGCTTCTGAAGCCCTAGGTATAAAACCTGCTCTGAGTGGGGACAATGCAGAACTAAGAGCACTGAGGAAAGAATACATGTCACACACGTCCAGCTGCTCACCACTGGACAAAATGCTGTGACGGAGTGTAGGCAGTGCTTGGCGAAGCCCCTTCAGGGATGAAGGTGCTATCTGTTTCAGCCCACTGCCATTGAACTCTTCTTGGAACTGTCACTGATCTCTTGTAAGCTTGTTCCCAATAAATCATATGTCTCTCAAGCCATTTCCTGGCACTTTCTTTGGCTTCTCTGCAACCCACTCCATTGCCCTGGTGCAACTGGGCAATGGATGTGACACTGACCTTGAAACCTTTTTATTTGCCATCTCATTAACATCAAAATGTCCCAGAAATTCTGCATCTTCCAGCGTGCCTGCCTCTTGGAATTGAAAGTCATCCAACCTCTGTCCCCCATCCCAATGTACTCTGATTTGGGATTTAAAAGATGGGGTCTGACCATTAATCCCTAAGTGCTGTCCACTGGGGCATTGTGATGGGCTATTGAGAGAACAACATATAACCCACAAGTCCACCTCGGACTTTATGAATGACTGTAGGAAAAATACACAGTATACATAGGTGAGCACGTGCACATATGCACACATGAGCACTCACGAAGGTGCGCGCACACATACACCTAAAGAAGCAACTGAGTCAAAAGGAAAAAATGTGGGTTTTTTTCCCCATGGAATTTTTGAGCTCACATTCTAAGATCCAAATCAAAACAAGAAACAATGAGCAAGTTCATTGCAAGAATTCCCCTATGTAAGTTTTGCCTACTTCACTCCTAGAGCCACCAGAAGAATGCAGCTCCCATTGATGGTCAGCTACCCTTCCTGTTGGAGTCAGAAGCCCAAAAACTCTGTATGTGCAGGATTCTGTCTCTCATCAATATCACACCCTCAGTGAGCTCAGGTCTCTGGGTTTCAAGCACCACCTGTGTGCTTCCGCAGCCAGAGCAGAGACCTCTCCCTGAACATCAGCTGCCATATATCCCACGGCCTACACTTTATCTCCTTTTGGGTCTCTAAAACATCTCCAGTGTCACATGTAGCCATTGATTTCACCCCTTTTACCTGCTCTTCACCTTCCTCATCTTGGTTGATGGCAAGTCTATTCTTCCCACTTCTCTGATCCCAAACTTGAACCTTTCCTTGCCTCTTCTTTCTCTCACACCACATATCAATTCATCAGCAAATCCTATCAATTCTTTCTTGAAATATGTCTGTAAGCTGCCCACTTCTCACTACCCTCCACTGATGCCACTTTGGTCAAAGCCAATAACATCTTGACAGAACCTGGGAGAAGTTGGTCTTCTGCTTCTGCCCTTCGCTCCCCACTGGCTGATTCTCAACCTAGCATACAGAGCGATCCAGTTAAAGCCCAAGTCAGGTTGTTTCTCTCCTCAGCTCAAATTCTGCAAAGGTTCCCATCTCACTTGGATGGAAAGCCGAGATAATCTTCAGTGCTCTCCAAGGGATGGATGTCCTGCAAGACTCTCCACCCTCACCTCCCTCACTCCATCTCCCATCATGCTCCACCCTGCCTGCTGTGCTCCAGCCCTTTGCTGTTCCTCAAGCCAGGCACACTCTCGCCTCAGAAACTTCACATTTGTTATTCTGTGCCTAACACACTCATCCCCAGGTAGCTGTATAACCCTCTCCCCTACACAAAGGCTCAGTCTCCCGTGAACCCTTTCCTTACCATTCAAGGTTATTTTCAACCCCCATCTGTGCTTAATGTTTTCTCCGTAGCCCTTGTCACCATCTGACTCACTGTATATTTTAATTAATCATCTCTTTGTCTCCACTATTAGCATGTAAGCTCCATGAGACACACACTGTTTTGACTGTTTTATTCATTGCTATAATCCCAGTTCCCAGAAGAGTTTGGCACACACACAGTAGGTGCTGGGTGCGGGTTAAAGGGAGTTTTGCAGTTGAAGGAGCGTGCCACACCTGCTCCAGCATGCCCTCCCCAGTGGCTGGAGCACAGTGCTATTGTGGGAACAGGAGGGGCTTACATGCTGCCATCCCCTTGTTTTCAGGAGAGCAGGGGATGGGGTTCCTGGGAAGGGAAGGAGAGTCCAGTCCAGCCTGGCAGATCACCTGTGGGAGGCTGAGGGCGCAAAGATCCAGGCAACTCCTCCCCTCTATGTCACAAGTGCAGCCTTTCTGCACCAGGAGGGAATACTCTTTCCTACTCCTTTGGGTGGGGAAAGAATTCCTCCTATGAATGAGATTCAAATCGGAACTCTTGGGACATTCCTGTTTTGATTTGGTTCTAGCAGTGACGCCTTCGGGTTGTGCAAAGCCTGGGAACATTGAGGGCATTAGGACCACGAGCGAGACGCTCGCTTGGCTCTGGGCTGTGTCTGGCAGAGGGCTCTCCGCTGAGCAGAGCTATGTGTGAAAGGAAATCAGGCACTGCCTGCCGGCTTTACATCTGTTGATCTGACCTGACTTGAAGCGTCCAAAGAGGGACGGCTGTCAGCTCTGCTGCACTGAAAACCCACCAGCTCACCCCAGACATCTCAGAGCAGCCTGACCATTCATGCAAAGGGGGAAAGAAACACATGGGACTAAACACCTGAGCAGAATGGATTCATTTTTTTTCCCCAAGGAGAAAAACAGGGTAAAAGGGGAGCAAGCAATTCAGTTTAAAGTCCTTGTGAATGGGCTCTCCGAAGGCAATTAAAGAAAGCCACGCAGAGGACCTGGGGTGAAACTGGGGTCCTGTGGACTTTCTGATAAGTGGAAGCAGGTTTTACACATGCTGTTGGCAAATGTCAGACGGGAAAAAAGGAGCAGGTTAAGTAACTGGCAAAAGAAACTTCCAGGTGGAATGAGCAACCAGGTCCTGCTGCAAGCTTGAAGGAACCTGGAGCCGGATGAGAAAGCAAACTTGAACATGACCTGTTGCATCTGGCAAGTTGTAGCAACATGCTCCTAAAGAAGCGGTACAGGCATGGACCGTGCAGACTTCAGTTCCTCCTGCTGTTCCTGATGCTGGGATGCATCCTGATGATGGTGGCCATGTTGCATCCTCCCCTGCACACTGGGCAACAGGCTGTCACAGCCCAGGCCAACAAGCACACCCCTGAAAGCCGGTACCACCTGGACTTTGGGGAATCTCAGGAATGGGTCCTGGAGGCTGAGGATGAGGGTGAGGAGTACGACCTCCTGGAGGGCCTGCCGCCCTTTATCTCGCTGCGGGAAGATCAGCTGCTAGTGGCTGTGGCTTCACCCAGGGCCAGAAGGAATCAGAGCCAGGGCAGGAGAGGTGGCAGCTACCGGCTCATCAAGCATCTGAGCAAGAGGCCGGATGAGGAAGCCCCAGAGAGGGACTGGGGGGCCGAGGAGGAGGATGGGGAGGTATCAGAAGAAAAGGAGATGACCCCACTCAGCCTGGACTCGCATGGCCTCAACGAGGCGCTCAGTGCCCGCCTGCCCCTTCACAGGGCCCTGCCCGAGGTGCGGCACCCGCTGTAAGTAAGGCCCTCGCTTTCCCTTCTCTAGTGTGGCGGGATCAGGCGGCAGCAGAGTGCAGGATGCTAAGCCTCCTCTGTTGCTAGGGCAGCACTTCTCAAGGTGTGGTCCCTGGGGCAGCATCAGCCTTGCTGATGAGGCACTTGTTAGAAATGCTGATTCTCAGATCCTATCTCAGACCCCGGGGGGTGGGGGTGGGGTCCAGTGATCTGTATCTAACAAGACCTCCGGGTGAGAGCCACTATCCCGGGAGAACAGAAAGTGAGAGGTTCTTGCTTGTTCATTCTCTTCCCTGCCCTAGGCTCTTGTCCTGTCTTTAGATCCTCAGGTCACACAGCTTTATCTGTGTAACACACAAAGAAGGTTAGAGCAGATGTTCTCCATGCACTGTCCAGTTCTAATGCTCCAACTCCAATACATTTTTACATGAAGCTTATTGTTAGTGTTTGCTTTTATTTTGGATCAGAATAACAATTGCTTTTTAACATTTATGTGGCTCTTGCCATGTGCCTGGTTTTAATTTAAGAGCTTTCCATGTTCTAACTCATGAAGTTCTATGAAGTCCCTTACCACTCTGGAGGATGGGTGCTAGTATTAGCATCCTGTTATTTTTATAGGAATGAAAAATAAGGCATGGAGAGACCAAGTGGCTTTCCCACAGTCACAACTAGTACATGCCAAAGCAGGAACTTGAATTCCGGCATTTAAGCTTCAGACTGCCTAAACCACCACTCTGCCACCCTCCTTAATGTGCTAGACCAAGGGACTACTTCCGGTGCTCTGGAGCTAGACTACTGTGCTGACTGCAGCTTAGCCTGCCCCAGCCCCAGGAGGCAAGCTGAGAAGTGTGCATGACATGCAGATCTGTGCCCAGGGAGATGGTAGGCTCATGCTTTACACCCTGGCCCTCCCTTACCATGGCTGGCCAAGGGGAAGGGGGTGGGGCACTGCTTACCAGCCTCCAGGAGCAATGCAGCTGGTTCATTTGGGTGATCAAAGGCCCTTCCCTAGAAGTCATGGCTCTTCCCAGAGCTCAGAGGGTTTCCTGGAAAGCAAACATATCCTGTAACCCCTTGAAGCAAGAGGATATGTGTAGAGCAGCAGCTGGGAGCAGTGCATATGCTCCTCCGATCCCTGATTGGTCCCTCTCGGGCTTGCTGCTCTGCCACTCAGGCTCAGGGGCATGCAAATGCAGGGTCAGCACCTGGGTGTGAGCACCTCCTTAAATTGTGTACTCTGGTGCCTCATCACCTCACCCAGGTCTTCCCATCCCTGCTGCTCTGACCACAGGCCTTGGCTTATAAAGCACTTTTCAGGAAACTCCCACCCCATTCCAGTTTTGTGCTCTCAGCACCCTGGAGTTTAGTACTTAGTACAACTGAAGCTAAATGGTCATTGATGTATTTATTTGTTCAATGCCTGCTTCCCCTGCCATGCTGTGAGCTCCAGAGAAGGTTAGCACTGAATTCGTATTGTATATCCCAGCATGCAGTAAAGAAATGATTGCTGAATAAAGGAACAGTTTTCAATTTTTATGATGCATTTTCCCATTGACTACAGCAGGAAGAATATCCTCATTTTGCAAATAAGAAACATTACCTCAAACAAGAGACTTTGGCTACCAAAGGAGTGTGCATGTATGCTATGCATGTGTGTGTTTGTGTTTGTGGATGTACTGCATATTGTATGTACATTGTGTTGTGTATATATTAAATAGAAATGCATGTATGTTGTGTGTAGTGTATGTGAATTGTGTATTGTGTGATTCCTGTGTGCTTGGTGTATATCATGTATGTGGTACGATGTGCACTTATTAGAGCTGTGCGGTGTGTTGTCATATGTGCGTGCATGTTGTGTATGTGCTGTGTCCATAGTAACAACATACATGCACTGTGTCCATGTGTGTTTGATGTGGTGCTTGTCTTGCATATGATCTATGTGTGCAGGAGTATCATGTTGTGACCATGTTGCATGGGTATGACATGCTTGTGTGTGTACTGGGTGAGTGTGTATATTGCATGTGTTACACGTTATAAATGCATTTTGTGAGTGCATCCGGAGCTAGACTACTGTGCTGACTGCAGCTTAGCCTGCCCCAACTCCAGGAGGCAAGTTGGGAAGTGGGCATAACATGCAGATTTGTGCCCAGGGAGATGGTATGCATGAGTAACACACACACAAACTTGCACAAATACGTATTTGTGCAACTTTGTATGTGTATTACTCATGCATCCTGAAGAAAATGAATGTACTGTATGTACATGGTACACAGTGGGTGAATTTTGTGGCTTGTGCACTGTGCACAGGTATGCATATTTTGCATGGATGTAATATGTGTGTATATTGTGCATGTTATGCATTTGGTGTAATGAGCATATGTATTGTGCCTGTGTGCATATGCACACATTGTGATGTAATGTTTTGCATGTGAATATGGTACATGTGTGCAAATGTATTTGTTTTGACTGCGTTGCACATTTGTATTGTGTGAGAGTGTTGCACATGTGTTATAAAAGAGCTATGCAAGCCAGCACGGTGATGCATGCCTGTAATCCCAGCGGCCCGGGAGGCTGAGGCAGGAGGATTGCAAATTCAAAGTCAACCTCAGCAACTAAGTGAGGCCCTAGCAACTCAGTGAGACCCTGTCTCTAAATTAAATACAAAATGGGGCTGGGAATGTGGCTCAGTGGTTGAGTGTCCCTGAGTTCGATCCCTGGTACCCCCCCCCCCCCAGAAAAAGATCAACAATGCTACATGTTATGCCTGTGCTGTGATGCACATGAGTGTGGGATAGGTAGGTGTGTAAGCATGTGGTACAAGTGGGTACATTTTGTGCCAGGTGTGTTTGGGGTGAGCATGTATATGTGTGCATATGTGTGTGCACCACTTTGGAGGCTACTTCTTTCATCCAGAGTAACCCACTGGTTTTAGTTTTCCTGGGACTGTCCCCATATGAGCATTGAAAAATCCTTGGCAGTGGGGAAACCCCTCAACTTCAGGCTAAGCAAGACAGTTGGTCTCTCCACCCCAGCTTGCCAGGCCTCCCACAGCCACCACTCTGTGTGGAGGTGTGCATCGCCCTCTGCTGGCCTCCACCGCTATGTGCAGACAGGTCTCGCCCCCAAGACTCCTCTATTTCCATTCCGCAGGTCACACCGCGACACTCATTGATAGGACAGTTCCTGCGAAGCTAGGCAACAACGCCCACCCTCCCTCCTGCGCTCTCCTCCTCCCACCGCTCTCCTAGACTCTTAAAACCGGGTCTAAATACAAGACATGAAAGAAATAGCCAAGCATTACGCGTCTACTGTATGCGGACCCTGCACCACCGCTTTTCCGGCTTTCCCACCAGGGGTGGGAGAGAGAACAGGTTCGGGGTCGCTGCCTCCTGCGCAGTGTATTCGGTGCCTGCCCCAGAGCTTCTTGCAAGCCCATCCAAACTCCTTATCCAGACACGCATCTCTGGCCTCAATTCTTTCAAAAGAACCCCCACACCCGCCCTGGCCTTTGTCCAGCCCCCTGTCTGGGCCCCAGGCCTTCTCTCTGAGTACCCCTGGAGTTCAGTTTGAATAGGGGACTTTCAAAGAAAGTTAACAATAATGCAAAGACCAAAAAAAGAAAAAAAAATCAATATAAAAGCCATCCAAAGACTGCCTCAGGCAAGAGGTAAAATTATAGTGAATATTTATTGAGCACTTACCATGTACTAGAGACTCTGCCAAGAGGTTTTCATTTATTTAATCTGCATAGCAAACCCATGAAGTAGGTTTCATTTAGTGAATGAAAAAACTGAGGCACTGAAAGGTGGAGAGACCAAGTCATCTCACCAGGCGTTTCTGACACCAAAGTCAAACTCAATCACCATGCTAGACTTTCTAAGTCTGCCACTTCCCAGGCCAGGGATTGGGCAAGTCACATGGGATGGAAACATTTCTATAGTTTTTCTATCTTGAAGTGGGGGAAATGCAGACAGGTCCCTGGGGAGATATGTAGGAGGAGGCTAGCTCAGCGTCCTTGGTGGTCCTGAGGATTTGAGGCCACCTTGTGTCTCACCACAGGGCACCAGAGGAGCTGTATCCCATGAAATACTGAGTCCCAGCTAGACACAGACTCACCTTTTGCTCACAGTGAAGGGAGACCTTGAAAATCCTCTGCAAGAGGAAGAAGTGAAATTTATAGCATGGTATCCATAAGGGTGGTGTAAATCCACTCTAACTTCTTCACAAGACAGCCCATACTCACAGGGATGCTCAGGGAGGGCATACAACTGAATCAGAAAACACAGATGAACTAAAGAGAAGGGCCGAGGATGGAGTCACAAACTGAGGCATAGGATTATCTCAGCCCTGCTAAGCTGCTGTCAACAAGGGGTTGGGGAGGAACAAGTCTAGCCACTTAGCCTTATGCAGCACTGGTTGTTTTCAAAGTTGTCCTTTGATCATCCTGGATCCCATGTAGGTCAATGGATTCCTAGGATCCAAGAGGCTCCACATGAGCAAGTGTTTCATACCTCAACATCCAGGGAAGCAGCTCTCCAACTTGAATGCGCATCCAAGCATCCAGAGGACTTGTTAATAGACAGATTCCTGGCCTCCACCCTACCCGCTTCGCATTCTGTAGGTCTATGTTGGGGCTCAAGCATTGGCATTTCTACAAGCTCCCAGATCCTGCTTCTGCTGATCTGAAATTAGTTTGAGAACCACTGCTCTGAGACACAGAGTAGGGCTTCTCAAACTTTAGCAGGTCTGCCAATTACCTGGGCAGCTTGTGAAAAAGCAGAGTCTGACTCCATAGGTCAGGGCAGCAGCCCAAGAGGCTAAGCTCCCACAGACAACACTTTATAACAGCAATGGGCTACACCACTGATTTCCAAAATATGAACTGATTCTTCTGGATGCATATTAAAAACATAGCCTTTCAGCCCCTACTGGCTTTCCATAGTTCTGAGTCAGATACCAGTAATCTGAATTTTTAAAGATGGATGCTAGACAGATCAGGG